TTTCAATTTTTGAGTATCGATAATTTCCACAATTTCAAAGTGTACTACTATCTGAAATTAATGGGTCGATTATGGATAGCAATCGAAATCAGTTGCGTTGGCTAGTTGCCAAAACGATGTTACAGATAGCAACTGACAGCTGCAGTTGCTACAAAGTGTGTATACAGGCGAGTACATTTTTGTTGCACAAGCTTTTATGAGCGGAGGTAATGAAGTTGAACGAAGAGGTTCATATCACGATATCAAAACGATAATAAAAGAAAAACCTTGAAAGCATTGACTTTTGTTTACAGTGCACGCGGTAGCTCTAGAGAATTGGAATTATCCTTTGAATGTCGCCTGATTGAGGCCGCGCTCATGTACTTCTCCTCCTCTTAAACTCATAATTGTGATGAGCATAGCTTTATTGATGTCTTTTCTGTAAAACTCTTTAATTTAATAATTCAATTTTGCTCGCACAGCTTGTTTACAGCTCATTTAAGGGCAATCGCATAAAATTTGTCGAAGCTAGGTGAATTTACAGCCCTGAATTAATAGTGTTTATGTACCGGACTTTCAGTTTTTTTGAGCAGTGTGGCTAAGAAATTCATCAGTATTTATTCAAAATTTATACAATCGCTCTTTAGCAAATAAGTGGTTTTTTCATTAAATTTTAGGAAAATGGGGGTGGCATGATATGTGCGTACCTCAAAAACTACTTGACCGATATCGACCAAATTTGGTATACATGCGCACTAATTTATTAATAATTTCAGTTTGAAATATGGTATTTTTTGCAAGTTTAATAGCTGAAACACAGAAAGGAAAATTCTACTAACAGGTCTATTCTGCACGTTACCGAAAATCCAGTTAAAATATTCAGCTATGAAGAATTGTGGAAATTCTGGCATTGCATATTTCATGGGGCAATACTTTGTTACCAGCTTATGAGATGGTAACAAAATTTACCGATTACAAGAGTACACAAAATGCGAAGAGGTTTAAAATTTGAGAGGAACTTTAGTTGCGTTCCCTAACTCGCAAGAAGTTGCAAGAATTTACAGGAATTTACCAGAAAGCGTTCCCGTACTCGGTTCTCTGGCTTCTTTTGCCTTTTGACAGTTTTACAGGTTTTAACCCAGAAAAGTTGGGGAACGCAACTTTTATTTACCGGTTACAAAATTTTTATTACCAGCGCCAAATAGACTTGTAAGTGAGCGTTATAATCCTCTTGCAAAAATTCCAATTTCCCCTATTTTCAAACATCTCCCAAGATGTCTGTTTGGGGTGGGAGGGATGACTTTTCATAAAGCGCGGTCCAACCTCTTTCGTTTAGGGGGATTTGGGGTCACGGATCCTTTCCCTCCGCCCCCACCAAAAATCGTTGTACAAATAACTAAACATTTCCCTTGATCTTTTTACATGTGTAAACTTTATTTATAAATTCTAGTGTGTAATAAAAATTTTGAGGATGATTTAATCGTGCGACACGCAATCCCATCTACTCCTTATTAGTAAAATATACTGATATTTTTACCAACTACCGTTTGACAAAACCTCATCGATTTGCTCACATTGCCCCTCAATAGCATTTTTCAACAACTGAGCTTCCGTTTCCAATTCCATTTTTGTCGATTCTAACTTAAGTTTGTAGCTCTTAATTTCACTGTCCAGCATAATCAAACTCTTTTGATCTGCTGCTGCTTGCTCGAAACGCGTCCACCAATCATGCTGTTGTCGATCGGTATTCGGCGATTGCCGTTTATCTGGCTCTGTATGCAGCTCAACATGAAATGTTTCTGCATCTTTGAGGATTTCTTCTACGGTTGGTGGAGAAGGTGGTCGTAGACATTTGGAATTTTTGGATCTTTTCAACATTTTTAAAAAGTAAACAAACTCAACTATTGGGGCGATTTGTGTTATTCCAAATGCTTTTGTCATCTAGCCAACAGCTGTTTGACGGGTTATCGATTAACGTATTTTGCTATCGATTATATCTGATGTGATCAGTCTCCATCAATCATTGTACAAACCTGACACGGCTCAGCGAATAAAGGCCTAACGAACTAACGCCTAATTTTTCGAAATGAAAGAATGCCTAAAAAAGAACGCCTAACAAGAAAGTGAAAGAACGTCTAACTTTAAAAATGAAGGAGCCTAATTTTAAAAATGAAAGAAAGTCTTAATTGTTAGGGTTTCTTTCATTATGAAATAACGCACAATGAAAGAAGGCCTAACAATCCGAATTAAAATTCTTAGAACTTTAAGAAAATATATTTTGGAAGGAAAAAAAAACGTATTTTTAAATTATATTGAACTATAAGTTATGTAAATACAGTTAAATTTTCAACAACTATAGCTCTACATAGAGGGCATTTCAGAAAGTTTTCAGCTGCGCTAACTTTTAGCTCATTATGACAGTTCGAGCAAATTTTTAAATGCCGACATGGCAAAAATAATAGGGGTATTCTCGAAGTCTTGCACAATGCAAGGTTTGCACGAAATGCAAAAATACTATTCCACATTTGAAAGAGTACGAGAGCACCCCATTGCAAAGTGGTAGCATGCATATATAGGTAGCAAGCAGCAAAATTCTGTATCAAATACAATAACAAGATACAGCAAAAAAAATGAAGTGAGCGAGATGAGAGGAATGAGAGAAATATGTAGCAATTCCAGCAACAAAACAAATAGCACAGGGTCGCATTTATTTTGCTATGCTTTTTTGCAAAACATATACATGGGTTTCGACGTTGCATATTTTGCAGCGATAGGAAATGGTGTTTCCCATTTATTTTGTTGTTGTGTATTTGCAAGTTATGCAATCCGTGCAATCCCTGCTACGTGCAATGGCTTTGCAAGATTTGGAGAATACCCCTAATATATTTGGCTTTGAAACCAAACACACTACACACATCGCACTATTACTTTCGCCAAAATAATTATTTGCTATGTTTGCATCAACAGTCTCGTCGCCATCATTATTTTCATCCTCGCTATCATCATCATCCTCGTTATCACTGTCATAAGGAAGTCCATTGGTTTCAAATATGTCTT